TGTGCTTCGTTACCCATGCTTTGTCATTTTTTAGACTGACACGCTGCTTATTAGACTTATTACGAGGGAGGTATGTCGAAGTCTGGGGTGGGACTCTGGGTTTTGTGGTCTATTTTGCGGTTTCTACTGAGGAACTCTCTGACTTGGATCCAGATTAAGTGTAGTCTGCCAGTAGTTTCTGGTCAGCCATTTCTATTTCCGTAACAATTTGATGATGCCTGTAAACTGGCGTCCCTCATGTACTGTACCATGAGAATAAATCTATTTATTTATTTATAAATCACACTCTCACATTTGGGAGACTATAGCCATCAAATATAAGCTGAACATGCCTCAACTGTAAACAGCTAAGCACAGGGTTAACAACACAGATTATTATTGCTCCCTTGGGTTCCTAGCGGAACATAGGGCTTCAACTGCACGTCTCACCTTGCTTCTGTCTTCTGCTGTACGTTTCATCTGCAGCCATGTTAGTCCATTCTCTATCAACTCCTCTTCACACGATCTCCTCCATGTCACCCTTGCACGTCCTACTCGCCGCTTCCCTTCCGGCCTGGTTCCACTCGAGCAATGGCCTGACGCATGCGCGATGCCACCCAGCGGTTGGTCTCCTCAGACAGAGTTCAATCCATCTCCACTTTCTCCTGCATATATGTTGGTTGGAGATTGGTTCTTGTTTTGTTCGCTTGTTCCCCATAGTTTCTTGTTGGTGATTCTTCCCATCTCGGCCATCTGATCTTCAGTATGGAGCGAAGACAGTTGTTAATAAAGGTCTGCAATAGCCTGTTGGAAATATTCTTTGTGACCCGCCAAGTTTCTGATCCGTATAGAAGAACTAACTGGCTTGACGTTTGTATTGAAAATCCGAATTATGTTGTTGATGTTGAGTGACGAAGATTTCCAGATCAGTTTCAGGTTGATGAATGTGTTTCTCGCCTTCCCGATGATTCTCAATTTGACATCGTCGCTCGTTCCGACTGGCTGTAGTTGAGACAATGCTCCCTAGATAAATGAATGAAGTAACCTCCTTCAAATCCCTCCTGTTGATGGTGATTGGCGCTGGATATTGCTGTTGTTGTTTTTGTTGTTTGGTTATTTTCATAACCTCCGTCTTGTCTATGTTCACTTGGAGTCCTGTCTTCGCCGGCTGCTTCTTCGACCAGTTTGTCGGTTTTCGCTTGTAAGTCTTCGATTGTGTGTGACATCAAACATAAATGATCCACGCGCGAAGTCCATGTCTTCTAGGTTCTTCACGTTGGTCTAGTATATTCCTGTCTTCTCGTTCCCCACTATCTGAAGCATAATCCAGTCCACCACAATTAGGAATATCATTGATGATAATAAGCGCCCTTTTCTGACTCCTGTGTTTATTCCAAACGCCTTGCTGAGTTTTCCGTTGTGGATCACTTGACATGTGCCGTTGTCGTACAGCTGTTGAATAAGGGTGATGAATATTTGGGGTACGCCGTAGTACTCGAGTAGTTTCCAAATTACCTCGAGGTCAACACTGTCTGTCGAAGGCCTTCTCAAAGTCTATAAAGTTGAGGTAGACGTTTGATTACCATTCCATGCTTGTTCCATGATGAACCGTAGAGTTACAATTTGGTCAGAACATGATTTGTCTTTCCTGAATCCAGTTTGTTCTGGTCGGATTTCTGTCTCCAGTGCGTCGTTTTATCTCTCCAGGATGATGCGACTCAGGATTTTACTTGGCATCGACAGGAGCATGAATCCTCGCCAGTTCTTTCAGAGTGAGGCGTAAGTCGCCCTTTTTCGTAGTTTCACGAGGTAACCTTTCCTCCAGTCAGTATGGACCTTTCCCTCCTTCCAGACCTTTTGCAATAATGGAGTCAGCATGTCTGCTGTAGTCTCTGGGTCTGCTTTCAGTGCTTCACGGGGTATTCCATCTGATCCGGCTGCTTTTCCAGCTTTCAGAAGCTTGATTGCATTCAAGACTTCAGCTCTCGTTGGAGGATTGGTGTCAACTTGCAGTTGTGCACGCGCTGTTGTTGGTATTTCTGGACGAGTTGCAGGTGATGTTCGGTTCAAGAGTCCTTCGAAGTGGTCCGCCCATTGTTCAATCTGTTTTTCTTCCTTGGTGATTGGGTTCCCTTGGCTGTCTTTTATAGGTCTCACTTGTGTTGATCTCTTCCCGGATAGAGATTTGGTTATCTGATATGCTGTCCTCTGGTCTCTTTTGCCTGCTGCCTTCTCAGCTTCAGTGGCCAGGTTGTCGTAGGATCGTCTTTTTTCCTTCCTAGCACTCTTCTTCATTTCTTTGTCCAGTGCTGTGTAAGTTGAGCTCAGCGTCTCTTTCTCCTGTCCCTGCCTTGCATTGAATCATTCTCTCTTTCACCATTCTCCTCTCTTCTATTAATTTCCAAGTGTCCGTTGAGAGCCATTCCTTGTATTGTCTCTTCTTTCTTCCTGGAACCGTTGTCAAGGCAGTTGAAGATTGAACGATCAATTCACGGTTGTTTGCTCAAAATCAACTTCCCCAATTTTCGCGGAGGCATCAATACGACAGTCATCGTCTCATCGGTCGCTGTTCAGAAAGAAGTCAGCAGTAAACCGTCAGAAGTAATATTGTGATTTATTATTGTAATATTTGTTCACAGACCTTAGTGGAAACAATATTTATATGTTGGTGTAACAATAAAGAATCCTCGAGTCAACAATTGGTGTTTTGGTTTTTTCGTCCGTTATTACTAAGCGTTTCTGAGAAACTTCAAGGAACAGCGTGAGCCCGAGCGTAGCAAGAGCTGGGCATTAACGGTTTACGAGACGTGGCTGACAACCTTTGAACACGTTTCGTTGAGAATCGCCTTCAGAGACTTGCAATGTTCTTCCACGCATGATTCTTCAGTGATGTCGCGTAGTGTTTCCTGCTTTGCTCTGACAGTTGCCGTGAAAGTTTCCTTTGTGGTTGTGTCCTTCAGTTTCTGAGTGTTGAACTTGCATTGTGGCCTATACCCAGCTATCCTCGAGGCTTTTAGTTTCACTTTGAAATTCCCTTCTACTAGATGGTGGTCTGAACCCACATCTGCTCCTCTCCTTGACCTTGTGTCCAGTTGGCTCCGCCTCCAATTCCTTGAGATTGAAATGAAGTCTATTTGGTTTTTGGTGTTTCCATCTGGTGAAATCCATGTCGTCTTGTGTATATCCTTGTGTTTGAACACACTACCACCAATCACCAAATCATTGAAGGCGCGGAAGTCTGAGGAGAGTTCACCATTGTCGTTCATTTCGCCGAGGGCCTCTCGGCCCATGGTGAGTTATCTTCTTGTGTTGTCTCCTCCCAGCTTCGCATTCATGTCACCCATCAGGATTTTGATGTCGCCATTTGGGACGTTGCCCATTACTGTTTGTAGTTGTCTGTAGAACGCCCCCTTCTTATCTTGTTCTGAGACGTTTGTAGACGCATTGCATTGAATGACTGTAACTTTCCTTCCTTTTGAGTTGAACCTGGCTGTCATTATCCTGGAGGAGATTGGTTCCCACTGCATGAGAGATTTGGCTGCTGTTGGTGACATCATGATGGCCACCCCCTCAGTGTGCTCGTGGTTGTCCTCTGGGTGGCCAGAATAGATTATTGTCTCTCCAGTAGGTAGTTGGCACCTTCCAGTTCCGTTCCATCTGCTTTCGCAGATTCCCAAAACTTCTATTCTGTACCTTCTCATTTCAGCGGCTATCTGGGCAGCCTTTCCAGTTTCGTGCATTGTACGAACATTCCAGGTACCCAACATAGAGAAACATTTAAACTATTGTAAAATACACAGACCTGTTGTTTTGATGAGGACAACAATGTCATATAATGCAACCTATACATTCAATCGTGATACCGCATCTGTACTGCTTTGTGTAAATGGAAATCTCAGGAGAAATTCATCTCCAATATTAGCGATCAAACAGATTGCAGCATTAAGTTTACACTGTCAGTGGAAATTGTAAAACAGACAATAGATTCATAATAATGATAATAAAGCTGAATAGATCCAGTTCTCATAATCACCACGATTCATGTGTATAATAATACCATATACTGGACTAATGCGCCGAGTGAGACAGTGAGGAAATTTAAACGAGTAATTGCCTTCTCCACTGCACTGTACTTGGAACAATCGCGACAACCACCTACGTTTGTTATCCTATCAGTCAGCTAAGTAGACAGTAGCACAATACTATTACAGTTGAGATATTTTTGTACATTAAATTCACATAACCCATAGCACACTGCACCAATCAGTGCCAATATATATGAAATCCACTTAGAGATAACCTTTCAACTTACCATAATTCCTGTCCAACCACAGATAGAATGAAAAGCACATCTAGATGATAACTTAAGTTCCCACAGACGATTCTGATAGCATTTGCATGTGATTTCCAAGTACTGAGAGAATTATTTTGTCAAAAGAGACTGTCCTTCACACGAAAATAGGCTGAGTTAGTATCCTGAGACATGAAGTCTTCATTGAATGATACTATGCCGAAAGGTGCAGCTTCTACGTGGAGCAAACGATTTGTGTGAATGGCATTACCCTCTAACTATCCTATCTTCCTCATTACACCAATATTTTGATACAGTCCACCTGAAACGCCAATCATTGCAACCAATATATTAAAAGTGTCGCAGTCAGATCACATGACGCGGACACCAACATCACTAGCCAAAAGATGGGAATTTCCATCAATCCCGATAACATATAACACAATTTTATTGAAAATTATTGGCAAAAAAATTTCCAAGCGGAACTTCAACAGAACGTGATAAATAAGTCCAGCCGCAGAACGGCTTCGAAGTCGCCAGGGATATATGTTCGCTTAAACAGATGTTATATCATCCAAAGTATTCACAGATGATCAGGAAGTTCATTCACCTTAAGTTTATTCAATTTATTAATTTTAGATTTCGATACATTCTTGTTTCAATATGGTGATTTAAACACTCAAGGACAAGATGTAGGTGGTTGTTTTAGTTCATTCAGGATCAGCTGACTATGGCGTCATCTCTGAATATTGTGAAAGCCGACTCTGTTTTGCGGCTCAGTAAGTCTTCTGAATAGTTTGTGACTTAAATCTAAATAAGGCACTATCTTGAGACGTTGGAAACCTGCTTGGCTAGTTCTCTATGCAAATGGTGAGCTGCGATATTACGAAAGTAAGGATGATTATGTACCCAAAGCAACCGTCAACGTTCCACGAGTGTGTCGAGAAGTTATTTCTAGTCCTGTAAGTAATTAATGGTAAACATGACTGCCCTGTTTAGAATTCATTTTCTTACTATTGCATATCAGCTCCCTTAAAAATCTCTTATAATAGATTATGACTACACTCATCTTCAGTGTCTTTGAGTACATATATATTTAGATACACATATATAATTTAAGTTCATAAAGATGACTTGAAGGTTTCATGTGAATGATATCAGTCTACGCGAAATTAAGAGGGCTAAAATTCCATTACATGGCCAAGCACAAAAGAACCATTTGAATCTTTTGAGTAAACTCATTATCAGGATTAAGTTGAAGGTGATAAATTATGTAAAAAAGGATTCCATTAAATTTTTTGGACCATTGATTTGCTTGGCAACTCTATTAAATGGTCACTCAATAACACTGCAGAGGATTGCAAATTTTCATTCACTTGAAAACCAATTTATATGAATTAGTGTGTAAAACTGGGGCACTGTGGTGGTATATTATTCGCAAAATATGTAGCAGAACTTTTTTGAATTCCATATTAATTTATTTATTCGATATATCACAGTGAAACAGTATTATTCACTAGATGAAGAGATTTTGAACACAATTTGTTGTCATATAAATGGAAAGACGTTAATTGAAGTATTACTATTTGTGGTGATACAATTTTCAAGCTGTATAATCGCATATATATATATATATATATATATATATATATATATATATATATAGTTCATTTTCCTAGCGACAAAATGAATATTTCAAAATTTGTGGTTAAAATTGTAAGTCTCAGTTTACAAATCACGTAATGTAGTAAGCGTTAATCGAGTATAAACTGAAATAGTGGTTAGATAAGAAATTTCGTTAATTGGTTAGAAAATAAAGATTTTATAAGCTAGTTGAGTGGCGCAGTCTGATTGATGGGGTTGAGTAGAGCTCAGCTAAAATTAAAATTGAACGAAACTCCAGTTAACAACGGTAGTAATACAGGTTGGGGTAAAATATTATACAATTAAGAAACAAACAAGGAAGGAAAGGACGAAACAGAATTACGTATTTGGTATTAAGATAGGTCAGGTCCGCTGTAGATTTAATGACTGAACAAATTTCTTTTGTGTTTAGAGCTCAGAATTTAACGTGTGAGTTGCCATTGATTCTGCAGTTTGAAGAAGTTTGATTCGTACTCTTTTAGCCGGATTCCCACGTATTCTGTAGATGACTTTGAAGTAGCTTTGCGGGTTAACTTGGTGCTCCGATTCGACTAGGTGTTCTAGAATAGAACTTCGGGGCGACATTCTTTCTGCTCTATGAAACTATGAGGGTATGTGTTTGATGATACGTTTGGATAGCAAACGCCAGGTACGACCGATATACCTAGCTCTACACGAGCAGGTGAATTGGCGGATGCACATTTATTGTTCATAATCATATCAATTATAACCACACCATTTCGAAACTTTTGTTTTGTAGTTTTCTTTATTTCCTGTTCATCATCGTAGGGGTAGTAGAATTTTCCAGATGTCTCTGACAGGCGTTGAATCATTCCTACTACACGTGTTTGCAGTTGATTCGATATACAAAGCCTCCGTTATCAATCTCTCCCTCCATCCTGTTAAATTAGATTTTAAAACTGTTATCTTATCCCATCCTATTGTATGGTTGTGTGTAACTGCATTTTCTATAGCTGAACTATTCTCTAGATTTCTTATCTTATTCGGGTCAACTAATCTAGATTTTGCTGGGTTTATATGTTCGGCTAGTCTGACTGCCCCTGTTCTACTAGTTTGACCTATGTATTTCACCCGACAATCATTGCAGTCAGGGTATTAGATGAACTAAATTGTTTTGTTTAACTGTCTCAACAAGATCCTTTAAACGACAAAGCTTGTTTCTAATTGAATTGAGTTTTTGGGTTTGAATGTCACTTCTTATAGCTTGATTCCACACCGTATTTTTGCTACAAGTCTGGAATTTTCAACATGTGATATCTGTAGCCCAATTTCGCAGGCCGACCATTGATATCGGGTGTGCGTTGGCAGGGGATCAAACCCCAGATTATGTGCATGGTCAGTGAGAGTCCCAACCACTGTGCCACCGACGCACACACATGTTAAGAATTCTCCGGCATAAGGTTTCCGAGGTTCCTTCTCTGTATTGAAGTACTACTGATGATTTACATCTCCTATTGTTGGTGTTGTCAATAATCATATGATACGATTATGAGCAATAGTTTGTGCTCGAAACGTCATTGCATTTCTTTATTACTCCTTTGTCTCACACCTCTGCTCACTGTTTCTATTATGCTTTTTTTGTACTTTCTTCTCTTGCTACGCGTGCTACACGGAATGTGGCGACTTGAACTTCCACACATTTGTGCAAAGTTCTATGTCGAAAACAGACAGACAGAAACGTCATCAGTTAATATAACTGTAAAACACTGATTTATCAAAATAAAATCTTATCTATAATGGAGTTATACTCTACCACAGTGCCCAAGTTTTATACTTTTATCAACGTATATCTTTTGTATAAAATCATCTTATAATGCATCCAACACAGGAAGCCTACCTAATTTATTGAAGGTTGCATCCATGTTACGTTGCGTAAAATGAGTTTACTGTGACCAGGTACGTTATGTCACTTGATATCGAAAATTGGTTATGATCATAATGGTCACATATATATCCAGTAAAATAGACGGATGTTCGTCTACTTTTTGAAAAGGCATAGTTCTAAAGAAGCTGATTCTTTTGAGTTCTTAAGATTCATTAATTCGGTATAAAATTGCCGATATTGTTGATTGTGTAACTTATAGGTTATGTTAAGCACATTTTCAACCTTAAAACAGTATATTTCGAAGAAATATTCAAACGCAGCTACACGCAGCCATTATATGCACCTTCTATTGTCATTGTAATTTTTAAAATCTTTGTTAATAATTTAGTTATCCTCATCTATCTTAGCTCATTTTAATTATGGTATGATTCTATTTGCGTTTACTTTCTAATTTAGCAGCATAGTAGTTGAACCTGGTTTATTTCTAAATAAGATTTTTTGGTGTTCCTGTACGACATAATAAGGCGTTATATGCACTAAAAATTGTAATTTATTCTAGATGATAAGTGATCCGAAAGTGGTGAAATGAGACTTTAGAAGCTAGCTGGTCGACAGAAAGCCATAGATCTGTGCCCCCATGCTTTTTTGGACTAATAAACAAAGCATATCTGCAATCTCATGGTGGTCAATAGATACAGTCATTCGACTGTGTAGGCGCTAACTCAAGCTTTGTATACTGTTCAGTTCTGTCTGAGTAGTTTGACAGGATCAATTAAAAAAATATACGAGTTATCGAAATTCGCGGAGTACATTAAGAGAGTTGTATGTTTAAGGTTTTATTTCACGCAGTGACATGGTTGTTTAATGGCGGAAAATCACTGTCTAGATTAACCAATATGAATAAGATTTCATTTTGATAAATCACACAGTGTTGTACAGCAATATTAACTGATTTATGAAAATAAAATCTTATCCATAATGGGTTTATGCTCTATCACAGTGCCCAAGTTTTATACTTATATCTACAGATTAGCCAAGTTGCCTGAGGTAGTTCCGCTAGACCACCGTTGATCATTTATCATCTTGGTTTATAAGCAATACTATAAATCTCCCTGCAATATCACAAGGTGCTTGTTTCACCTAATATGTATCAAAGGTTCTGGTGGACGTAATCATATGAAGTCTAGGTGGAGCATGGCAGCAGTCAAGAAAAGGAAATCAAAAGCCCTCCTAAATGGATATATTGATTTGATTGTCGTATCTTTTTGATCACACTCAAATAAGTTAATGTTTGTAATTTTCAATTTCTAAATTTCCTTTTAATAGAGAAATATTGACCCACCTAAGGATCGTTCAAATGATTGTATTTTTGGTCTTAAAACAAATGAATCTGATTGGTATTTTTGTGCTGAATCACCTGATGATGCAGCTGTATGGCGAATCGCCTTGTCTGAAGTGAAAGGATTAACTTTACCTCGTTACCGTGTTCATATACCACCTCCAGATGCGCCACCACCGGGATATACAGATGGTGAGAATTACTATCAATATGGTTGCCCTCCTGAAACGACAGTTCCTCTTTATCAAGCTTCTGCAGGAAGGCAGTATGTGCCAGTACGTCAAAAAAATTTGATTTTTGTGAATTCTTTCCTCAAACAACATAGCATATTATTACTAATATTATTATTATATAATTGTTCCCTTGGGTTCCGAGTGAAACGGCTTCAGCAGCGCATCCTTACTTTGCCCTATTTTCCTACAGTCTTTAGTGGCCCCACGCTTACTCATAGTTTCTCATCTTCTCCTCTCACGATCTCCATGTTAGTTTCAGACGTCCCACTACTAGTCGTTTCCCATTCATGTTTCACTGGGACAATGACCTGGCGCGCAATGTCATTCCACGGTCTCCTCAGTCTGCGTCACATCTATCTCCATTTTCTTGTACGTATTTGTTGAGCAACAGGTTCTTGGCTGGTTGTTCACAGAGTTTCTTGTTGCTAATTCCTTCTGATAATTTGGTCTTCAGTATGGAGCGAAGGTAATGTGTAACATATTTTTCTCACTTATGGCTTCCACATACAGGCCGGACTTGTAAACTGAACCAACTAACAGGAAATGCTCCTTAATAATTTTGAGGAGTTAGGCATGTGGGAATAGATAAAAGGAGTTGATTGCATTCTATTGCCAATTATTCAGACTTCAATATAAGTAGCAGTACAAATTCATTTTCAAACTTTTATCACGATGCGGAGTAAAAATATTATAGTAGTATCTTCTTTTAATCTGATCAATATAAAGTTAACTTCAGTCACTTATTATACCGATATTCAAGAAGGGAAACAAGTCCTCGTGTGATAATCATAGGGAGATCAACCTAACGAACATAGTTTCTAAAATCCTAGGCTCAGTAATCATGCATAGACTAAGCAGAACTCGGGAGGAACAGACAAGGGAAAATCAAGCAGGCTTTAGATCAGGAAGAGGGTGTATTGATCATATCTTCACTCTCCGACAGATTCTAGAACTTAGACACACTTTTCGGCGTCGAACAATTGCCATGTTTCTTGACTTGAAGGCGGCCTTCGACTCCGTGGATCGAAAGGTACTATGGCAATGTCTGACTGTGAAGGGAGTGCCAAGAAAGTACGTTGCACTAATCAAGGCACTCCATTCAAACTCACGTAGTCGTGTAAGGGCTTATGGGGAATTGTCATCTGAATTGGTAACAAACAGTGGTGTCCACTTTCCCCATTCCTGTTTAACTTCATCATATATATGCTAATGGAAGTATCCTTAACTGAACGTAACGACTTAGGAATCGACTTATTACCAGGGAATAGTCTTATGGACTTAGAATATGCAGATGACATAGTCCTGTTAGGGGAGGATGATGACAAAATACAGAGTCTTCTGAACACCTTGAGGAGCAATCTTCGTTTGTTCGGCATGTGATTCGACCTTGTAAAATGTAAGAAGCTGCTACAGGACTGTACTACGTCAACTCCTAGCTTAGTGATAGGGAGTGAAGTGATAGAACATGTTGACGACTTCACCTATTTGTGAAGTTGTATCACAGCACCAACGGACTGATTGGCGACGAAATCTCAGCATGGATCCAAAAAGCTCGAGCTGCTTTCGCTGACTTACACCACCTTTGGCGTAGGCGTGACATCCGGCTATCAACCAAGAGACGTGTGTACTGTTCATCAGTTCGTTCTGTCCTTCTCTGTGGCTCTGAAACATGGCCAATACGAGTTGAAGACATGAAAATGTTGTCTGTTTTCAATCATAGATGTCTGCGATCTCTTTCTCACGTTAGGTGGTTTAGTAAGGTAAGTAATGTTGATGTTAGGCGTATAGTGTTGGGCAAAGAGGGAAAATCAATCGACGAGGCTATAAAGTTACATAGATTGGGATGGCTAGGTCAGGTGGTGCGCATGCCTAACCATCGCCTCCCCCGACGGGCATTACTAGCTGATATAGGTGCAGGTTGGAAAAGAGTAAGTGGTGGTGGTGGCCAAACAAAAACATGACGGCATCAATCCATGAAATCCTTGACAGTTAAACTGAGTCAGGTAGGGAAGGAGATGAAGACTTCCGGGTTGGGGCCCTTGGCTCTGTCTGTCTGTCTGTTTTCGACATAGAACTTTGCACAAATGTGCGGAAGTTCAAGTCGCCACATTCCGTGTAGCACGCGAAGCAAGAGAAGAAAGTACAAGAAAAGCATAATAGAAACAGTGAGCAGAGGTGTGAGACAAAGGAGTAATAAAGAAATACAAAACAGTTTCATTGAAGATCATAAGTCACAGGGAGTGGATGCATCTGCGCCACTGAGAACGGTTTTGAGCCATGTCACCAATTGTTTCCAACCGTTGGTTTTTACCGTCCCGAGGACCCCAGCCTGGAAGTCTACACCTTTCTACGTGGCTTAGACCAACTGTTGTGGATTTCATTGACTGATGCCAAGTTTTTGTTTGACCGCCGCTAGCTTTTTTCCAGCCTGACCCTATATCCGCTAACATTGCTCGTCGAGGGAGGCGATGGCTTGGCATACGTAACACATGTCCTAACCATCTCAGTCTTTGTAGCTTCACGACTTCGTCGATTGATTTCCCCTGTTTACCTAGAACTCTACGCCTAACCTCCATGTTGCTCACCTTATTATGCCACTTTACACGGGAAATAGAACGCAGGCACCTATGATCAAAGCAGCTAGTCTTTTCATGTCTTCCACTCTCAGTGGCCAGGTCTCACAACCATAAAGAGGACGGAGCGGACTGATGAGCAGTACACCCGCCCTTTGGTCGATAGTCGAACATCTCGTCTACGCCAGAGTCGGCGTAAACTAACAAATGCGAAACGAGCCCCTTGTATTCGTGCTGAGATTTCGTCAGAGATCAGCCCGTTGGGGCTGATGGTACTTCCCAAATAAGTGAAGCGGTCAACGTGCTCTACCACTTCACTTCCTATTTTTAAACTAGGCGTCGATGTAGTCCAGTCCTGTAACATCATCTTGCATTTGGCGGGAGCGAATCGCATGCCAAACATTCGTAGATTGCGTCAAGGTGTTTAGAAGACTCTGCATTTCGTCAGCGTCTTCGCCTAGAAGGACTATATCGTCTGCATATTCCAAGTCAACGAGATTATTCCCGGTAGCAAGTCAATCCCTGAGTCGCTGAAGTCACCTAGGGTTAAGTCCATTAACACATCTATGATGAAGTTGAATAGAAAAGGAGATAATGGGCATCCTTGACGGACACCACTGGTCGTCATCAGTTCAGATGACAGCTCGCCGTAAGCCCTCACCTGGCTGTATGAGTACGATAGAGTGCCTTAATCAGTGCAATATATTTTCTGGAATTCCCTTTACAGCCAAGCATCTCCAGAGAACTTCCCGATCGACAGAGTCGAATGCTGCCTTTAGGTCAAGAAATATAATGACTGTTGGACGCCGGTAGGAATGCCTATGTTCTAGAATCTGTCGGAGGGTGAAGATATGATCAATACACCCTCTTCCTGGTCTAAAGCCTGCCTGGCTCTCTCGTGTTTGTGCTTCCCGAGCACCACTCAGTCTACGCATGATTATTGAGCCTAAGACTTTAGATACTATATTAGTCAAGCTAATCCCTCTGTGATTATCACAGGAAGACTGACTCTAGGAATCAGTGGCTATGGCTGGAGACAATAGGTGACATGGCTCAAAATCGTTGTCAATGGCCAGTGAAGATTTATTCAGTCTCTGTAATCTTTCATATACCTTTCTACCATTACCCATTCTGTCAAACTGTATTGATTCTCTTCAGTCATCTTGTCTACCTTTGTGTGGTATTTGGAACGTGGCAACTCGAACTTCTGCATTTCGGTGCCATGTTCTATGTTGGACCCAGACAGACAGAAAGTTACCTTCAGTGATTTGGTAGGGTCTCACTAGATCAGCTTTTTAACTAATAAAACGTGATTAATTTAGGATACAGACTTATTGGGACGTAGTCATCAAGCGGTTGTCGAAATAAATTTCAGATGAAAGGTAATAGAAATAGAATGGTACTGTAGTAGAAAAACTTAGTGAGTGGGAATGTGATAGAATAAAGGATAACGGAAGTATTTAATGTTTCTGGAATAATAAAGGATGTGTACATTTACCCGACTGTAAACCGTTTTGAGCCCTAGCGGGATTATCTCCGATGAAATCTCATCAAGGATATAAGAAGCTCATGTGGCATTTGCCAACTTACTCCATCTATGGCACAGACGTGGTATCTGGTTATCAATCAAAGGACGTATGTAATGCATTGCAATTTGCTCTGTTCCCCTTTATGTCGTCTGTGAGACATGACCGCTAAAAGTACAATATATGAAATGACTAGCTTTCTTTGATCATAGGTGTCTGCATTCTATCTATCTCCCGTGTTAGGTGGTATGGTAGGGTAAACACTATTGAGGTTGGGCGTATAGTGTTAGTTCAGCAGTGGGCCAGTCAATCGATGGGGTTGTGAAGGTGTTGCGTATTCCTAGCTATCACCTTCGTCGACTGGACATATTAGCTGGTATAGGCATTAAGTAGCAAAAGATTTACAGGCCGTCAAGCCAAAACCTCGAATCAGTCCATGAAATCTTAAGCAGATAGTTTGAACTCGGTAAGTAAGTGTAGACATCTTGGCTAATATGGGTCTTCGGGATGGTGAGAACCAATGAAGTCTGGAGAAGATTGGTCCTATGGCTGGAAAATCCTTCTCAGTGATGCTGCAGATGCATTCACTCTTTGTGATTTGTCATATCCAGTAAAATCTCATCGTTCTTCCAGATTACTTTTCTTTTTTCGTCATTCACATTTGTGTGTGTTTATTATCTGTCTTTTGAATATGTGTTTACTCTCTTCTGTTACTTTGTATGGTACATGGAGGGAGAGTGGTAAGTTAAACTGGTGCACATCTCTGCAAAGCTGTATGTTGAAATTCAGTCAATCAGTCAGTTTCAAGCATCTAGAGGATTCCGGCGGCGTTGGTGGCGCAGCGGTAGAATGCTTGCCGACCACGCATGTGGTCTGGGGTTCGATCCCTGGCAGCCAACGCACTCCTTTATCTCGCTAAGCCAGAAATAATGCTGATAAAGAGAAAAGGTTGGGCATGGGGCTAGCAACCCCATCCTGTAAAATTAAACACTGCTACAGAAACTTCAAGCCACTAGCATGAGGCCCTATGTTCCACTGAGAATGTGAAGGAAAAAAAGAAGAAGAAGAGGATTCCGGTTGTACAATCTACATCTTCCTACATGTGGTCAGACCATAAGTTTCATGTATTTCAAGAGTTTGTACTGTGTTGTGATTTGACCACTCCTGACTCATTTCCGACTGAATTTTACACCAGTAACACACCTTTTTTTTGGGTGGGGGGTGGCGGAAGACAGACTTGCCATCGCGTGGTACCTCTTGTAGTTATTGTAGTTGGTGAGAATTCAGTACATTATAGAAGGACTAGCCTTTATTCAGCAGTATGCATTTAATATCAACATCGGTTACTGTGCGATGTCGATTCTTATAGTACGGAACTCGAAGGAAATTGTTTTCTGCATTTATTGTTCATTCATGCTTATCTTCTATATTGAGTTATATGAGAATACCGACGTGTTTGACAAATTCTTAATCCATTACATTTTTGTGATATTTTCAGACTGTATATCGTGGTACCGATGGAGAATATGTAATGCCTCGACAAATTATTGAACATCCTGATGGATCACGTACACTTATCCTTGGTGATGGGAATGAAATCCCCTGTCATTGTCGACATGGTTATTATTGTGGATGCGGTTATGGTGCTGGAGATGCTGCCCTGTTGGGTTTAGCTGCTGGGACACTTATGTGGTCACCCTTTTTATGGGCTCCATTTTTCTGGTGTTAATTTTCAATAGTTTGCCATTTGTTTTTGCTTTTGGTTTATTTTTATATTCAGCTCTGTCTTTCCTCTCTAAACAAAGAAGATGGATGGTCAAGTGTAAACATTTTTGAGTTGCTGTTTTTCAAAACTTAATAATATTACTATTAGTATTAATTACTCCATGCATGTGAGAAGGGAATGGTTTTTACCTGCGGGGGGGGGAATTTCATCCGTCGAATTGTCATTGTTTTTCCCCAGCGTTTATTTTTTTTTCATCATTACACAGATATATATAATCAGGTGACGTTTCGTCAAAAAGTAATTATTATTTGTTTCGGTTATTTCTGATTTTTAATTTGTAAATTTTTTGCTTTAAATTTATTTATTTATTATCAGAATTACCAGAATATTTTGAGCATCATTGTCTTTTTATTATTAATATCACTAATTTTTTTTTACTTCTTTCTTATTGTGGTGGTGGGTTTTGAGTTATTCTTTGAATTATGAATAAAATTTGTCATCTTTATTAGGTGTTGTCTGATAGGTGGGGTGGTTTATGTTTATGCTCTTATTAGGGGTCTGGGAATACTAACGTTATTCAAGTGTTGATTTGTAGGGATTTGGTTGGTTTCAGGATTTAATCATCAGCTGACATTAGTTAGAGAACCATTGGAAACCTGGGAGTACTGGGCAGCTGTTTCATTCTAGTTTGGGACTCTTCATTAGTACGCACCCACTTGGATACCAATGAGATGCTCACTGGCAACTGGCCCTATTCAGGTAGGTAGTTACTTGGGTTCCAGTGGGAAGTCGTGACCAGTAGGGTGCAGCGGGTTGGGTGTGAGGACAAATACTCGCCGAAGACATTGACTAGCGGTCGCGCTATGTCGTGAATTGGCAGAAGTTGGAATTCAAGGGCCATTGGATCGGGTCCTAGCGGCTTAATGGTATACGAGCTCGCCTTGTAACCAGAAGGTCCTGGGTTCGAATCTTGGCAGTGAGTGCGTACTGATGAAGAGTCCCAAACTAGGCGGAAACAGCTGGTTGTCCAGTACTCCCAGGTTTTCCAATGGTTCTCTAACTAATGTCAGCTCATGATGAAATCCTGAAACTAACTTATTCCTTTTAAAGAGTCATCTAGCTTATGTACGTCGGTGGCACAGTGGTTAGGACTCTCGCCGGCCATGCACATGGTCCGAGGTTCGATCCCCCGCCGACGCACAACTGACATCTATGTTCGGCCTGAAAATTTGGGCTACCGATATCCATGCTGAAAATTCTAAACCTGTACCAAAAATACAGTGTGGAATCAAGCTGTAATCAAAAATAAAGAAAAATAATAATATGAGTAAATTAGGAATCAGGAGACATGATTGCTCACCAAATGAAGTTACGTGATAGTAATAATAATAAAGCTTTATTTCAAATGATATATGATGAAAAAGTAGTACAGATATTTTCAACGTATGTAGTTGTAAAATATTTCCTGGTCGTACAAAATTGACATATAACGCAATAGTGTAAAGAATATCACGTGGTATAGTGTGTTGTTGCATAGGGATACAGGACCAATTGTGTAAGTTTCTTGTTCATTTCTTTCAAAAAGGATACAACGTTTGATTGGTAGCTAATTTTAAATGTGCTCACGTGCTCATGTAATTGCATGAAATGCACAAGGAAATTAATGATAATTGCACTTTGGTTTATTCATTGATCAGTAGGAGTGTAACGGTAGAAGACAAAAGATTTGGTAACGGAATGTTTATTTACAATTTGATATATACACATCTAGGAGAATTATGGATGTCATATATTGAAGTCATCATTGGCACAGATCTTCTGTGTTGTGCTACTTCTACCCTTCGTTTTGTGTTTCTGTGGATCGTGGAAAACATCTATATGGACATAAGAAAGAAAAGAACACGAAGTTCAGCAAAGATATCTTTTCAGCGATTTCATTGTCAAAAGCAGCTGTACAATCGCATTTATGTAGATTATTTTACATGGATGCAATTATTATTTGTTTGCAACATTCATGAAATGAACACCGGTGAAACCTATGGCTGCGGAAACGTAACGCCAACAAGATTGAGGAAAGAGGTGAAGGTTGTAGTACTTGTCTTTGATGAAGTGAGCAATTTTACACGTCGGAAAAGCATTATTTGTTAATTGACAATACTGTCGAACTGTTTAAATCCTAGTGTGTTTGAAATTCCAGTGGTAGGATCATTGTGTAATGCATTTTTCAACTTTTAGGAAATTCTAAGTTATAATTTGGTCTCAGTAGGTTTTTGGATAAAATGTATTTAGGTAATTACAACAACGCAAACTTGATAACATTTGATTTGATTTGTGACAGTTCATATTAGAAACCCTGGGTGAAGTGGAGTATGCATCTGAAGTCCACTAGTTTTTAGGACAAGTGTTTAAAAACAATGGGAATTAGCGTATTATTATTATTGTCTCCTTTAGTTCTTAGAGGGAAATAGGCCTTCAGTTGCACGTCTCCATTACGTTCCGTTCTTCGTCAACATTTTCACCTGGATTCACGTCTGCCCACATGCTTCCATCTTCTCTTCGCATCACCCATCCCCTCCATGTCACCCTTGCAATGAAGACCAACTCGCTGCTTTCCATTCGGATTCCACATGAGCTATGGCTTGGAGTGTCATATCACTTAGTAGTTTTCTCAGAGTATTGCCAATCCACCTTCATTTCTTCCTGCATATTTGTTGCACAATTGGTTCCTGGTTGGTTCGCTCCCAGAGATCCTCCACTATTGCTTATCTTTTCTGGCCATCTGATCTTGAGTAGTATTGAGTGCAGTTGATGAAGGTCTGTAGGATGTTTGAGGTGCTCTTCATGACACGCCAAGTCTCTGATCCGTATAATAGCACTGACTTCACATTGGAGTTGAAAATCCGGCTCTTATTTTTAATGCTAAGTGCTTTTGGCGTCCACATAGACTTGAGAGAAATGAAAGCTTGTCTTTTTACCAGATCCTCGCTTTGATATCCTCATCCGTCCCGTCCACCTGTAGTTGAAACGATGCTTTCCAGATAGGTAGGTAGGTGGTAAAGGAGGTTGCTTCTTTCAGATTTCTCCCGTTTATGCTGGTTGTTGTCTGTTGCTGTTGGTCAGGAATCTTCATCACCTCTGTTTTCTCTATGTTTAACTGAAGGCCTATTTTCTCTGGATGTTTCTTCTCCCAACTTGTTGCTTTTCACTTGCATATCTTCCAGTTTGTGGGAAATCAGGCATATGTCTTCGGTGAGATTCCGATCCAGATCCTCCAAGTTTTTTGTTTGGGTGCATTCTATTCCTGTCTCCTCATTCCCCGCCGCTGTCTTTCGCATTACCCAGTCTAGCGCATTTAGGAAAATCATTGGAGATAGTAGGCGGCCAGCTTGTCTTACTCCTGTTTTCACTTCGAAGGATTCCATGAGTTTCCCGTTTTGCATTACTTGGCACGCAGCATTGTCGTACAGCTATTGGATGAGATGTATAATTGTCGATGGGACCACGTAGTAGCGAAGTAGTTGCCAAATCACCTCTCGATCGACGCTGTCGAAGGCCTTTTCAAAGTCAATGAATTTGAGATAGGTGACTGTCGTTCCAAGCTCTGTTCAATGATGATCCATAGTGTTGCGATTTGATCGATGCATGATTTGTTCCTCATGAATCCAACCTCTTCTCGTCGAAGCTTTACATCCATGGCCTGTTTGATTCTCTCAAGGATGATGCGGCTTAGTATTTTGCTTGGGATGGACAGGAGCATAATGCTGCGCCAGTCCTTGCGTTGATCTAGGGACTTAACGTACAGCACATTTACTGAGGAAGAATACTGGTGAAGGTTAAACACACTCACATGTTATTTTGGTTCATATTTCAGTCACCAAGTTAACGGCGATTACCAACACATTCATGCGGTGAACACCACATAATTCCGAAATAATCGAAACCCGACTAGTAATTTAGAGCAGGGATTTTTGAATGTTTATCATGCGATTCACTCCTATCAAATGTAAGGTGATGCTACAGGACTGAAATACATCCACTACTCCTAGCTTTAAGAGAGGTAGGAGTGAAGTGATTGGATTAGCGTATTGACCATTTCCCTTATTTCGGTGGGAAGCTATATTAGCCAGCCCCACACGGTTGATCGCTGACAAAATCTCAGCATGCATTCAGAAGGCCAGCTTGGCATTTGCCAACCCATACAGTCTCTGGATTGGTAGGCGTGAAATCCGGCTGACTTTCGGTCAGAACACGTGTGTACTGAATAGCAGCAGTTCTCTCCGTTCTCCTTATTGCTGACTGTGAGTGAGACATGGCAATTCAGGGTGGAAGATATGAAAGGGCTGTCTGGCCGTCTATTTTTGACCATAAGTGTCTGCATTTTATCTCCGTGTTAGGTGTAATAAGGTGAGTAATATTGAGGTTAGACTTCGGTCGAGTGCTAGGTAAGGAGGAAGGGAAAATCAATTTGAACAATGCAAGAACTACAGTTTTAGCAGAATAAAATGGTACCATCTTTTATTTCGTTGCCTTCTCGTCAGCTGCTTACATGGCAAAGGCATTATTAAATATATCTACAACAACAATTTTAACATACTTGCACAGAGATCAGTTTAAACAAAAAATCAATCGATCAATATACGCATACACTAAAAATATATACATATATAAATATGCAATATTAACCACTATTCCGAACAATAATAATCAAACACAATGGAAACTTTTAGCATTTCACATTCGGAGGAAAGAGAGGTGAAATTATCCAGTTACCAGGGCAAAGAAAGGCTGATAACCGCTTCTTTCTTTCTTTCAATAGACCGGATTGTGAAGCAGGTGCATCGATTTCGATGGTAAGAGCATGTGTTACGTATGCGTAGGCATAGCCTTTCTTGACGGTTAGTGTTAGCTAACATAGGATTGGCGAGGATGGAAAGGAGCTAGTGGTGATCAAATCAAGATACATGTTTGCTCTCTTCTGTTGCTTTGTATGGTATATTGAGAGT